GAGAGAGAGAGAGAGAGAGAGAGAGAGAGAGAGAGAGAGAGCATAACAGGTCATTGACATAATAACATTATAGTTATCTTTTGATCATATTATAGTTACATAAGCAGTTGTTCGTACTTTTGTGATACCTGAATCAGATCAGCAAAATAATATCCCTTGTTTCAAACAAGAAGCAATTTAAATGTATACATCTCTGTAATGTTTTCGCTCTTTGATCTTTTTTCTGCTTGACAAAATGTTCTACTCTACAAATTGCCTTCAAAATAGCCATGGATTTATTTTATTGGGTGTATTCAAAACAATTAGTATTCTTTTTCGCTGGTCAGGAGGTCACTACGCACTGAAAGCAAGCTAGTAGACCAGCGCGTCACGCACAAGAGAGTTTCTATAGGTGGAACAGATGTTCATAGTGTTATACTCCTAGGCAGTAAATTTTCATTTCAATTTTGTTTCGAGTGGAAACGTAACAGCCTACTTGATAACACAGCAAGCTTGGAACTCTTTGCTTGCTTCATAATAAGGCTTTCATTTCTGCTGAGACAAAACTAAAAACAGTATAGGCAAATATAGTAAAAAGTTGTCTCTATTTGCTAGGTGTTTTTTCTCTTTCTTTAATTTTTCCTAGAATTTTCATGAGAAGTGGACAGGTTTATTGGACCCATAATTTGTGTGTCGACTTTTTTCCTACAGCTTTTGGGTTTTAAAAAGATGTGGAACATAATAAATATGTCCGTAATAGAGCGACATATTCGTTCTATTTTTGTTTTGTTTTCTTGGCGTTTTTTCTATGCAATGTGAGAATGATTAAGACGTTCTTTACTGTTATTACTTTGCAATACCTCGGTCTATCTCTTCGTCCATCTACTTTTCTGTCCGTCTGTTAATCTGTCTCGCCCAGCGCTTGTTATCCTTTTTATCGCTAGCGCCCAATTTCTCCACCTTTAGAATGCTACAAATTTGGTGATGTCCACCTAGATATGCACAATATATTATTCTGAAATAAAGCATTAAATGATACTTGTCACTTGCCGGGTGGTCCCCGCCGCCCACTAAAATGATAAAATGTCCCACAGGTGAGTGATCTCGCTCAGGTTTGTAAGGCACTGGTTTAGATTTATATTAGACAGACGTTTCTACCCATCTGTTTATCTATTGCCGTGTCGATCTGTCTATCAATTCACTTGTATGTCAGTCTATTAACTCATCTATTTTCCGTTGACTTGAATTTTTTAAAAGCTGAAATATTTATGTATGCAGAGAAACAAAGTACTAAATTCCAAAACCAGCATGCGAGTCGATAAACGTTTTCTGTATAGTGTCTGTTAAGTGTGATAAACACGAAGGACTATTTGTAACTGGATAACGAAAATCCACAGAACAAAAGGAAATCAAGTGAGCTACAAATAGGTAACACAAAGTTGGTAATAAGAAATCCACTGGAAGCAAATAATTCAAGGGACATATTAAAAGAGAGAAAGAGAGAGAGAGAAAGAGAGAGAGAGAGAGAGAGAGAGAGGAAGAGAGAGAGAGAGAGAGAGAGAGAGAGAGAGTAATAGAGAGGGGAAGAGTGGGATGGGTAGGGAGAGGAACACTAACAAAATGCGGGAGAGAAAAGACATTTAAAAAAAGAAGAAAAAAAAAGAAACAGATCGAGAGACAAGGAATGGGGAAAAAAAAGAGAGACAAGGGCGGAAATTCGTTAGCAACCAGAACAGAAAAATGGCAGAAAGAGAGAGAGAGGCGAGAGAAAGAAAGAAAGTGATAGAAAGAGAGAGATAGATGGACAGAGAGAGAGAGAGAGAG